ACAGTAATCAGATAACTTTTTTTTTAATAGAAAAACGAATAATAGGCGAAGACGTCACATGGCCACTTCTCAATCAGTTATTTTGCACAGCTTCCTGCGCAAACACTATTTCAAATCTCGCTAATTTCAATTTCTACTGAGTGCATGATATGTGGGAGTCACCATCTATGAAATGAAAGAAATTCAAAAACAGTTCGTGATTCGATCTGAAAAATTACGGCAATATTTTCAGTGCTTTGAGGAAATACGAGAGGACCGTTTTCAAATAAGCAAATATTTTTCCGCGGTAGGTTCAGGAAAATAATCACAGAAGTATTATCCGAGTGGAATTTTTGTAGAAATGATTCACTGAGGATCCCTTCTTTTATTTTTCTGTCCTGCATGGGAACATGGCATCTCGCATTAACTCAACATCAAAGTACGGAACGTCTGATTCTAAATTCATAGGCTGAATATAATAAGGAAAGACGTTGCATGATTAACTTTCAAATTTCGTCGCCTTGTTTTTAGAGTGCACTGTTAAAAGTGGCGAAGAGAAATCATTTTACGCGTTTGAGAGTCTACTCTATGGAGAATTGAATCTTTATTTTTTTATCGAGGTTTCAAAAAAGTATCCCGAGACTCTGGACAATTTCAGTTGATTTATTCACGTTTTAGAAAAATGGAATTACGGAGGCGGCGTGTTATGAAAAGTGTGCCTTGCAGGTGGTCCTTCGGACAGCCGGCGGAAGAGATCGGGGATGGAATACGTGGGAGCGAGGATTCACGGTGATAAAATCGCGTTTGTTCGTTATTTCCTCAAGCTCATACTCAGTCCGAGATGCTCAGATTGTTTGCGAATGGTTATTAGAACTTCCTTAGGCAAATAGGCGTTCAAGCAAAAGTCCCCGAGCAGGAAAGCACTCATAAAAGAATTACCAGTGGGACCCATTGTGGTACTGGCTCAAATACTGTAGTTGTCTGTTTTGCTTTCTTTTGTCAATCGGTTACATCCCCGTTGGATATTGGCACGAACAGTCAAATCTCTCCAATTGGAACTCTAAGGGGAAAAATCGAGTTAGGGAAACAAGCATTTATGTAGGGGGAAAAAAGAATTACAGGAAATTGTAATTGGTGATATTCTTGGCATTGAATTGATCCCTAAATGAGTTGACAAGATGCTGAACTTGAAGGCAAGAGTTTATTTGCCAATTAGTCTCCCTTGTCCCTTCAAAAAACATCAAGTTACCTTTTTTATTGCTTTTCTCTTTCCTGTGTCTATGAAATTATAGCCAGAAGACCTCTAGAAAATTTAAGGTTATGGAGGTTTGAGGAGGAAAGCCTTTGAGTGAGGGAGGGTTTTTAAATGCATTGTTTCTAGGGGAATTCAGACAGGCACTTGAAAAAATTATACTTGGGAAGGTATTTTACTTAGTTTTCAGGTATCAAGGTTCAATTTGAGCAAGAGTACTGTATACAAAAGGCAAATGAAGTCTTTATTGAGGATTTTACACAATATTTCCATCTAAACCGCTAAAAATGCGAGAATTGTAAATTTATTGATTTTGCTGTTCGGCGACTTCTGGTAATATCGTTGCCAAGATGTCGAGCATTCTCCGAAAGAAAATAATGTCCTACAAAATCTNGGTGATATTCTTGGCATTGAATTGATCCCTAAATGAGTTGACAAGATGCTGAACTTGAAGGCAAGAGTTTATTTGCCAATTAGTCTCCCTTGTCCCTTCAAAAAACATCAAGTTACCTTTTTTATTGCTTTTCTCTTTCCTGTGTCTATGAAATTATAGCCAGAAGACCTCTAGAAAATTTAAGGTTATGGAGGTTTGAGGAGGAAAGCCTTTGAGTGAGGGAGGGTTTTTAAATGCATTGTTTCTAGGGGAATTCAGACAGGCACTTGAAAAAATTATACTTGGGAAGGTATTTTACTTAGTTTTCAGGTATCAAGGTTCAATTTGAGCAAGAGTACTGTATACAAAAGGCAAATGAAGTCTTTATTGAGGATTTTACACAATATTTCCATCTAAACCGCTAAAAATGCGAGAATTGTAAATTTATTGATTTTGCTGTTCGGCGACTTCTGGTAATATCGTTGCCAAGATGTCGAGCATTCTCCGAAAGAAAATAATGTCCTACAAAATCTTTAAGCGTATTGCTGCATTTGGTCCCTGTAGAATGGAGTGAACTTTATCGTACATGACCGAAATGTGCCGAACCAGACTTGAGATGCAACTCAAGGAATGCAATTCCATGTAATAAACCGCGAAACGTGCGCATTATTATGCTGAATGATTTTGTGAAACGGAAATTGCCTTGCAAAGCTTTGCCAGCCAATCAACCCGAAGCAGCACTCCCTGTGTATTCCACTACGCAAAACCTGGGGTTCTATTGCTGAAGACAAATATTGGTTAGGTTTTCCCGCTTGTCGAATCCGTTAGGCGCATATTTATGTCTCTCTCTCTCTCTGTTCCCAAGGGGGACTACATGAATCAGGATCCTTTTAAAAGTAGGTGGGGGGCCCTGTTGGGTAAAATATTTTGCAGTGCCCGTGTCTCGGCAGTGATCCACTGCTAAAGCTCGGGGGCCCGTTGGAATTCCCCGATATACGGGATTCGGGTCAAAGGGCTCCCCCCACTGTGCGCCAACGTAGTCGGCAACCCTGATGGATTTGAACGCCGCTAGGCTCCGCAGTCTAGCCGAGCCGGGTTATTTCACTCAGTTTTGCTTCTTTGTGAAGATGAGCACTCCCTCGCTGCACACTTGCTCCCAGTCGCGCCGGAAAACGGGAGGGGGTTGTCAATTGCAGAATTTCCCGCCATGGGTACGTGATGAGGACCGGCGGACACGGAATGTGTCTGCGCGAACTCCAGCCACTCTGGCATCCAACGGCGACGACAATTGTACTGTGCTGTTTCTTTCTTTGAACCAACAAAAGTGGAACGGACATCAGACCGTACATTAGTTACATAACCGGTGTTTAGGAGATACTGTAATATTTATCCTCAGAATTTCTGCAATGCTTTCCCTACTCCAAAGCCACAACTTTTTAATAAAATCGCCTCATACAAACTTAAAACTTTAACAGCTGGACATCATCACCCATATCTTGAATGTTAAAAAAACAAAATGACGTGGAAGTTTTTTAATCATTCATTGATTCCACATGTTGATCCTCCAGTTGCATTTGATTAAGGAAACGTTGAGAAAATTGAAATAAACTTGTTGATGAGGCATGATAGCATTTTATGCTCAGAGAAAACAAATACTGTATTAAAAAATAAAGAGCGAGACGATGTTTTGTTTAAATGTCATGCCAATTTTTCTAGGATGATGTGAGACTTCAAACTGAGAGATCTGTTGCGTATGGGGAGTTTTCAGAAGTCTGTGAATGTGCCACATTTGTAATGTATGTTATAATTTAAGATTGAATAATGCAAATGAACACGAATTTTCGAGTTCATATGGCAACCAGATGGGATTTTAAAAGCCCAGTGGCATTCATCTTTACATAAAATCACCCCATGTTTCCTTACGTACCCCAAATCGATTGGAATTTAAATCTTTTGAGAGTGTCGAGGAAAAATGCGTTTTGCTGTGCCGCCGGTGTGGCATTGAGTTGACGGGCGTACATCACGGTCTTGATGCTGAAGCCGAGGAGAGGTTGGAGGTTGGAGGAAGGGAGGTAGAGAGGGTGGCCTGAAGCGGTCGAGTTTGCCGGCTGCTGCGGCGATCAGGCTTTCGTTAGCTGGCTGGCGAGCCGAGCGGTGTGCAACAGGCTAGTAGGATCTCGGAACGAGGAGGATTCCGAAGGCGAGTTATTCAGTTGTGAAGTGTACCCGTAACTGAGGACTAGATCCGTAAAACTTGTCCTACCAAAATACTTTCTTGGAAAAGAAAATTTTATTTTTGATGCATGGTGTAATTTTGAATCGAGGGAGAGCCCCACATTTCTGTCGTGGTTAATTCTTATGACCTGAAAGTCGCCGTGCAGGATTTATCCATTTTTTTTTGTTTCCCGAGTGAATTAAATTGTTTTCGGTGATTTCTGAAGATTTTTCGTTTGCACCGAGAAAGTTCGTGTCTTTTCTGACGATACAGCGAAGTATCTCTCCACTCGTGTCCATCGTCTGACGGTTCCGATATATGAGTTGGTGAAGACATTCCGTTATAAAATTTCTATTTTTGAAAAATTACCGATGAGTCATAGAAAATTAGCTGCAATATGAGCGAAATAAGTTATGAATCTTTGATAAGTTGTGTCGTCCCACGGATGGATACAGAGAGTAGGCAGCCGAAAATTTCGAAATTCTGGGTGATAACGCGTTAACGCGGGCTTTTGACAGGCGATTCATTTCAATCTGTGATGTAGTCAGCTTGATTTAATTTGAGAGATGCAGAAGTTGTTTCGAAAATTGGAGCAATACTGCAGTAAGCCGAAGAAAAGTTGGAAAAAGCAAGCGTAGGAGTTGTTTGAGTGCTCACATTTAGGGAAAAAATTGGCGTATCCCTCTATCTCTTCTTATCCCCGTAATCTGTTACTTGCCGCTCCCCAGTTCGTAAGCGCATTTTCGAAAAAAAAGTGGGCTATGAGCGCCGAAGTAGGATATGTAACCCTTTCGTAAGCTGAGTGTCTAGTGATAAACGAATTTGCGGGCATTTGCCCATTTAGCACCGCGGAATAATGTTTTTTTAATTTAACTGTACTCAATTCGTATCTTTTCCGGGAAGCCCGCGTTTTGTCTTGGCGCAGTGCTTGTGAGTGTCAAGTGCCTGAAAAACTCAGAAGTAGTGTGACGTTGGTGAGCCGGCGGAGTCCGGGTGGTTGGAAGTGTGCCTCGCGTTTCGTCGCCAGTGATCCGACTTTTTTTGAGATCACGCACCGAACAATAAACTGTTGATTAAAATGGCAAGTGACGGAGAAAACCAGCAGGCCCAGCAAAACGCCGAACCAGCGAAGGAGGAGGTTGAGGCCAAGAAGGAGGAGGCCAAGGAGGAGGTGAAGGAAGAGAAGAAGGTCGAGAAAGAGGAGAAGAAGAAGGAAGACGGCAAGGAGAAGAAAGAGGAGAAGAAGAAGGAAGAGGTTAAGAAGGAACCCGCACCACCGAAGCCGACTGTCCACAAGGCCGATTTCAAGAAAGATATCGTGTACTTGTACCAGTTTAGCAGAACTCCGGTGATCCCCTCCACGTCTCCATTTTGCCTGAAGGTCGAGACATGGCTTAGGATGAACCAGATCCCGTATGAGGTGAGAAAAATCCCCTTCTACCATCAAATATATCTACGAGAACTATTAATCACTAATGATTCCGGAAGACTTTCGATGTCCAGTGTCGTAAGAACGCGGAAAGTCGTATTATAAGAGGCCAATTTTCTCTCACTCGCATTTTCCGGTTGACTCAACTCACAGTATTAAATCCCAAACCTGATAAGAATATTGCTTCTTTGTTTTATGGTCAGTTTTTGTGTAAGTTATCAGAGCGTAGAACAAGTTGAAATTTTATGAAGGGATTTCGTCCTTTTGTCATAGCTTCTGCGTAATTCAAGCAGATTATATCCCGATAAGTAAAATCCGGTTCCGTGTGGAATAGAATCCATCAATGTGTCGCGAAGCTTTCTTTATTCGTTAATAATGCTGATTTCGCAATGGGATATACTGTATTTATCTTTATTGAATCATAATTTTTGCCTTACTACATGTCCTTCGTCGAAGCAATCTAAAATGATCTGGTTTTGAATGTTTTTCGACCCGTCTCTCATGGGAACTAATGAACATGCCATTCGAGGAGCGTTTTTTTGCAGTTGCGTTTAAGAGCTCATATACAGTAAGTCCCGGGCTTTTAGGAGTGTTCCTGAAATCTGTGCAGCAATTGCTGCTGATCTCTAGAAATACCGAAAGCAGCGTTCTGTGTCAACCGTCGAGAATCTTCAGTTATTGAAGCTTCAGTAATTAAAACGTGCTAGCTTCTATTTAATGAACGAAGTATGATGTCGACTTGCAACGATTCCTACCAATTTTTGAGCTACTTTTCCAAAATGGCCCACTCTCATCATCCCACCTGTTGAACTCAAGTTGAAAAATTTTCAAGTTCGAGCCAGTACTATTATGGGGGATTAATTCATTTGTAGGCCGTATTTTTCATCTCTGCTTCACACGAATACCATATCGTAATTATTGAGGCCCCCCGTACCTTTTTCGGTCATTTTTGTTTTCGCAGTAAGCTTCCGTCTTGGGATTTTCAGTAGAAAAAACTTGAGATCTCGGAAACATGATTCTAATTTTTATTAACCGAAACGAAATTCAATTTTTAAATGATTTTAGGATGACCTGCGCTGGCCCCAAATCAATGCGTATCACCTGGTTTTTCGAGTATACGAGTGCAATCCGCTGGTCGAAAAATGCGGCTCGTAGCCGGAATTCTGGTTCAGTATGGAAACTTCGGTATACCGAGTCTCCACGAGTTACTGTACAATTATTACGACATCCTAGTCTAGGTTCGCCACAGCTGCGCACTGTACTCACTCACTGTGCGTGAGGGGAGTAGGGATTCGCTGCGGTGGTGGCGGCGGCGGCGCAAGCTGCACGAGTTTCAGATCGACGTGAATGAAAACGGGGTCCGTAACCGTCAGTCCGGTCGGTCGGTCGGCGCTCTTCCCCTTGACCTTCAGTCGCGGACGCGGGTTTCCTGCGTGATCAAGTTCAGGGGCCCTCCGAGCCTTTCGGGGTGATGGGAATTCCCTTTCTATGGTAGTGGCTGCATTCCTGCAAGCTGAGCCGGGTTCGGGCTCCGACTCGGGACGAGCTTTTTCGTCTGGATAGACTGTCCGGAGTTGGTGCCGGTTCGTTCTGTCGCCTACCTCTACTCTCAAAAATACGCATGTCACTTCTCGTTTAATCGCCTCTTTGACAAATTCAAAAATTAATCTCAATTTTCCTTGCGCTTCCAACTATTTTTTTTTTCACGGATAAAAGGTGGAATTTAGAAATGTAGTTTCCAAGACCATCGGAACTGGTTGGCACGTCCGTATGAACATGTTATCTTGCCCAAAAATCAGGAAGAAATGTAAGGGAAGTGCGAAAGTTCTGTCAGTATTAATCTTATAAAATACGATATTGAAATCAAAGGAATTTGGGCGTTAGATTTCCCTCAAATTTGACCATGGCTTACTTTCAAGGCGAGGCATAACTTTCAGATTTAGACTGCATTAAAATAATACATGAATTTCGATCGAAGTTGAAGATGGTACTTTTCGGGGTGTTTTCTTATTTTGCGGCTGGATCTCGCAGGCTCAGAAAATACCAGAATTGCGGTGAACAAACACTGTTCAGAATATGGTATTACTGTACACTAAAGACTGGGAGGATTTGAAGAACTGTACTCTTTCAAACCAGGGGAAAATTATGATTAAAATCGAGAAGTTTGAAAATACTGTCATTTTCGATTGCTGAAGGACTTTTTTCCATTCTTGGGAAAACATTGAACAGTAACAATTTGTTTTAACCCGTTGTGAATTTTTCCATAGAAGCCATCTGAAAAAGTTGATTTTGTCCCGAGTTAACTCTCTTCCTCGGCATTGAAAATCGTTTTACTCTGAAGATAACTGGATAGGTACACGTTTCGTGGTAGGTGACGTACCAGACCAACACCTCGATATTTTCTTCCTCAGTCTCATGATCATCGACTGCATGTTGGCTTCATTTGTCACTGGGTACGAATAACCTCAGTCGCGTGCCGATCGATGTTGGACGAGTTCTTCGGTCGAACTGATGTTTTTTTTTAAAATCAGGAGGTGGATTCCATGGCCTCGTCTCTTCCTTCACTGAAGTTAGATAAAAAACATTTTCTCCCGCCTGATGGATTATTATTTTTTCTGCAGAAACGTATCTATTTGGACATCTGCGTGCTTTCTTTCCGGCATGGGACGATTTTTAAACAAATGGGGAAATCTACGCGCTCGCGATTTTTTTTTTCGTATGGAGTCGTTGCACATTTTTATGCATTGAACGAAGTTTACTGCCGTATTAGTTCATACTCTCTCACACCGATTTCCTCTCGCAGGTCTCCCCAGCATGTTTTCGAATTCACGTTTTCTTTCGAATCTTCCAAGTTTTCTACTTATCTGATGATGAAAAATGATGGCCTCTCCGATGTGTTCGCAATGGACGATTGAACAAGAAATCAATCAATTCAGCCGATAGGGGCAAACTTGAAGTGAAATACCTTTTACGCTTCCAAAAACTTTACTTTGGGATTCTCGCTCATGAACTGAAGAGGGGGAAAGTTGGAAAATTGAGACAAGGTTTTGCGTTAACGTGTGTATAGATTTAATTGCAAATATCTTGACTTCTTAAATTATGCTGTATTTCAAGTACTCTGCGTCGTTCTGGCACCGGCAAACTTCCAGTGTTTATAAATTATAATCAAATGTCCTGCGATATGCTCTGCAGTTCGATTTTGTTTTCATGGAATCCAGAGAAGACGGCTTTGTCTTGAATAGGCGTGCGGATATTGTTCATTTAAAACTTGTTTTCCACACACTATTCTAAAATAACTCAGAGTAAAACTGGTCTCAAATTGCGGGTTTTGGTGATTTGCAGCGTTCCAGTAGCAGGTGTCTGAAGCTAGGTACAGGGGACCTCTTAGTCTTGAAGGTACTGTACAATATTACATGTTTAGACTGTTCACTCTAAAATAATTAATCAAGTAATGTATAATGCAGATCCGCACGTGTCGTCTGGAATATGATAGTGTAAAGATCGAAACTTGGTCATGAAATTGGAAGCCACAGATGTGCGCTGTTTGTTTCGAGAAGAAAGGGTTTCCTCGTCAGAAAGATGTTTTGGTAGCTTGGGTGTTCAACGTCACCTAACCTTGGAAAGGGTAACAACCTGTCACACCCCGAAAAAAACCCTCTTTACCCGCGCATGCGCTGCGTTGCAACCCGACTCCTTCAGACACGCGAAACAATAAACCTCTTACTGATGACTTGATCGTGTGTCTCACCATTTATCATTCGTGTCTGGTATGAAAATTATTCTGGGCCGAATATGAGGATTGACTTCATTCCTGAGTTTCGCTGGGAATGTTGACTAGATTCCTTGAAAGTTAAGGCAACATGTTCGTGCAAAATTATCCGTGACGACTTTCATGCATCGAATTTTTGCGCTTTGAGAATTTTACATTCAATGTCTCCCTTGGTCGTGAGATTTCAAGAGTTCATTTCCACCATGATCATATTCACAGTTTTACAATGCATCTATTATTAACATTAAATATTGAGTACTGTAATTCCAAGAGAAAATGAATTTTCATCCACTTTCTGTGATCGGATCCATTGCCAAAATTGATGGATTAAGTTCGAATCCTTTGTGAGCAAAATACTGTACATTATATGAGACATCCATTATCCCGGGCACCATTTAGTGACTCACTTTCATGCACAGTATTTAATTTATAACTCGTAACGTCCGAAAATTCAGGCGTCTTGTGAACAGCTTTTGGTCTTCTCATAAATTCATAATCCGGAGTTGCCCCCCTTCGCTCTTATTGCTCTCGTGTCGAATGCATCTCGGTTATTTTTCTTGCGTCGCTCATTTTGATACCGCTCTTAATTTTTTGACTAAAATTCATTATGCGAGAGGTACTGTATCCATGTTCCGATCTACCCAATTTACTGCCCACGTGCATTCGGTATTGTTGGCTTCCTGCGTTTCCGGTCAAACCCTGCGACAACGGGTAGCCCCCCCCCCCCCCCCGCGTACCAGCGGAAATGCGCCCGTTGCCCGCGGGCGGATTTGTCCGGCGGTTGCGTGAAGCGCGCCTCTCTGCTATTACGCGCATGCGATGGCCGCGTTGTGCCTGCCTCGGCACTGCGGGTGTAGAGGACTCACATGCCTTCGTGGGAAAATGTTATCCCTTGGTCCATTGCCGAAGAAGAGGTTTCTTCAGTGCTCAATGAAGAAATTGCAGTATTGTTTAGTTTAAACTCCATTTTATATGAGCACACGAGTCTTTTTTTTTTTTTTAAACAATCTTACCTCGCCCGAATGTCTCGTACATTTTTCTTGGCTGCCATAAGTTGAGGCCTGGCGTGCTTATTAAATTTCTGATTCAACAATCTTATGAAAAATGGACTTTCGGTGAGATATCGTGGAATTGAGTATTGATGTCTGTTCTGCGACATTCGATTCTTCTTGAAGAACTTTTTATCTATTACTGATTTTTGTCTCGTTCAGAATTCATTTTC